AAAAATTAATGATTAACATTCATGTATGTTTTAATTTATAAAATACGTTAGGAATGGTCTTAGTATAATATCAAAAATTCAAGTCAAATCAATCTCGTCTTTACTAATGATCTCATCTCGATATTGTGTGACTTACACTTTTTCATTACAACTATCAGGATTATATCGAGCAAATCAATATAGATACTCCTACAGTTCACATCTGTTAATTATTCGAGTGTCGAAAAAAAGAAATCTTGTGTGATATCGACTATATTATGTGACTACTTTTTCATTACTTTTTCATCATACAGAAAGTAATTAGCAGTTGCAAGACAAAAAAGAATTATCAAGAGTCTAAATTACACGAATCACACACAGAGTATTCAACTATTTCCTAAAACAGCATAGAATGAAAGTGCATTACCGACAATCAGATCGGTAAAGTAATCAGTATTAAATGGAGTATAAAGAACATTTTTTTATGTTTATCGTTATATAAACATATTGGATTATCCGGAAAATTCATGCCGATTTTGAAGGAAAATTGAAACCCAGAAGATTTAAATTTTTAATTTCATTTATTAAATCTTTTGCGGCACGAACTTTCCGGACAACTCAATACTTACATCATCTAAAATGAATGAAAATTCAATTGATATTCAATTGCGGATCGATAGATCAACAGAATTTACTATTACACTATTTATTAATTTTTATATCTGTGAGACATTAAATTATAAAAGTAGATTCGACAGTCCGAAAGACACTGAAGGAATACCTTGGGAAGCCAAGGTATTCCTTCCCAACCCAGAAAATAGATTTTATCCTGTATCCCTTTCAAAAAACCGGCGCGTGTGTACGGAAAACATGTGCGCACTCGCTGGAAGATTAAAAATGGAATTATGGATATGGATTTAATCACAATTTTCTAAAAAAAAAAGTAAGAAGATAAACATTAAATAAAATAAGCATAAGTAGCTTATTATATAGTATTTAAAAAAAAATTTTTAAATAACGTTTTTTATTGCGAATTTTATTGCGAGTAAAATTATATATTTAAATTATTCATAAAGAATTAAAGAGCTATTTAAAAAAAAAGAAATTTATTAAACAATATTTATACAATATTTTACAATAATTCATATTTTTTGCCGCTGAGACAGAAATATCCTAAGTGACTATTCCCGGATTAAGAAAATTTAAAGATATATATTATATTTAAATATAGTATAATAAGTAGATAATAAATAAAAATCTAAAACGTATTTATAGTAAAGGCGAGAATTATATGGATTACGGTATACGTAGTAATCCACATCGTCGTTTTGTGTGGAATTCCCATCTTTTAAAACCAGTAGAAAAAGATTTGCATCCTGAATGGATATTATATATAATACATGGCTTTATTGGTCAGTCAAATGTGAGCATTTTTGGAAGATCTATGTATGTCACCGTGATTGCCAGAAGAAGTAACAAATATGCAGGAACACGTTTTCTGAAACGTGGTGCAAATTTTGATGTATGTGCAGATGCATTTATAATATATATTTTTCATAGATATATAAACTGATAATTACATATGAATATAGGGAGATGTTGCGAATGAAGTAGAAACGGAACAAATCGTTCATGATTCTGGCGTGAGTTCTCTAAGTAAAGGACATTTCAGTTCTTTTGTACAAATGCGTGGATCAGTGCCTGCTCATTGGAGCCAGGATGTTAGTAAGATGGTCCCAAAACCGACTATAACTTGTGATTTGTCTGATCCTTATGTAGAAACAGCAGGTATTAATATATAAAAATTGATAAATTGTTTTATTCTGATATGAAATTATTTTATTCTAGTACGTTTAACATACTTTTAGGAGCGCATTTTAATCAACTGTTGAAAAGATATGGATCGCCCATAATCATATTAAATTTAGTTAAAAAACGAGAGAAAAAGAAGCATGAAAGTACATTAAGCGAAGAATTAAGTATGGCTGTAAAATATTTGAATCAGTTTCTACCTCCGGAACATCATATTCAATATATAAGTTTTGATATGGCACGTATGAGCAAAAGGTAAGTTTATATTAACATTAAAATCAGAGTGGGTCAATAATGTATATTATTTGTTACCTTAAATATATGTTATTTTTAAAGATAAGAAAATATTGTGATACCAAAGTTGTACGATATCAAGAAGACCATAACATATGCTGGTAATAATTTTTCTAAGTGGAGATCACTTCCAGAGATTTCAAGATCACCTCCATTTTTTAAATGGCATGTTGTACTTTTTTAACCTTAGTAATAGCGGATGTTTAGACGATTTCAATGATTATAATGATCTATAAAAAGGTCATTCGTCATATAAAGAAGTAAAACAATAATTCTTACATCACAAGAAATGTTTGATGTCTGTTTACAAAAATAATTATTATATTTTATGGTCCTCTTGATACAATTTTTGTAATTACAATATTTTCATATCTCTAAAAATAGTGGAGATATTCAAGACAAAGTAGACAAAGTTATTGCTCCATTCTGTATGCGAAAGAATAATTTCGTTATAATTAATTTCCATTAATTTTAATTATTAATAATTTTCTTTGTCTTTTTTATAGAAAAAAAGTGAACGTTATGGGGCGATTAGGAAATATTGCTCACAATGCTGTATTAAAGATTGGTATTTATCAGTCACAAAATCCTTATTACAATCAGAGAAATCTGTTTTCACCACAAAATAATAGTACGAGAAAACTCCACAAGACAAATTCAAATTCGACTTTATTATCTAATTTAAATGACATCAAAAGCTCTATTAATACTTCAATTAAAATGGATTATAATGAGCAAACAAGTTTTATATATGATTCTGATTCAAATATAGAAATTAATAAAACAAATGAATTAAATCAAATTCAAAACAAAGTGAAAGAATGTTTTGCTAAGAGAGGAACTGTACAAACTGGAATTATCAGAACAAATTGTGTAGATTGCTTAGACCGAACAAATACAGCTCAATTTGCAATAGGAAAATGTGCTTTGGGGTTTCAGTTATGTGCTTTGGGTGTACTAGAATCTCCTAAACTCGAATTTGATTCTGATTGCGTAAGAATGTTAGAAGAATTATACGAAGATCATGGAGATACTTTAGCTTTGCAATATGGTGGTTCACAACTAGTACATAGAATTAAAACATACAGGTAGGTGAGAGAGAGAATGTTATTACATTAGAATGTAGTAATATATTAAATTAAAATAATTTTGATTATACGAAACTGTTATTTAGAAAAACTGCTCCATGGACAAGTCAGGGTAACGATATTATGCAAACTTTAAGCAGATATTACAGTAATACATTTAGTGATCAAGAAAAACAGCATACGATTAATTTATTTCTGGGTAAATAATATCACATATCTATCTAATCTTTATAAAACAATCTATAATTATCTTTATTTGCAAAATAATTTGTAATTATAGTTTAATTAATATGCGTATATCTTAGGATTATTCATACCTGAAGAAGGTAAGCCTCCAATATGGGAAATTCTAACAGATTATTATCTCCATCATCTACCAGCTTCTCATTACTCGCGTAAAAGAAGACTTCTGACACAATGGTGGGATAAAAATGTATTGAAATGTCTTCCTTATGCACTTGATGAAGTAACTAAATCCTGTTCAGAAATGATACAAGTGCAAAATTCAATAGAAGAAATGATTGACGTTTATTATGATTATCACAGGTAGCATCACTTATTTCATAATTATACATATTATTATACATTTCATCAATTCATGTTTCACGAAAAACTTTATATAAATATTTTAGGCCGTATGAATTATCTTTATTATCTGAGGTATATGCATATAAAATAAGTCACTCTGTCAGAGATTTTATGCCACATTTTACTACCTGCTATAGTCCATTTGCCGTTCGTGTACGACCAGGCAGACGGAGAGAAGAAGCAGGTAGTAAAAATTTAAACATGAAAAATCCATCTATGACTGGCCAAAGTAGTACGAGTAGTACAACATCTAGCGCAAGGTATGTATTGTAATTTTATTCATTAGTCAATTTTATTCTTTGGAGTTAAGTATAAATAAAAATTAATATTTATATTTATATATAATTAATATATTAATATTTATTTAGCGCTTCTTTTACTTAGTATATTTATAATTAACTTCGATTAATTAATAACATCGGTTATATATTGCAGCTCAAGCGAGGATTCAAGTTCAGATGAAGATGAAAGCCACCAACAAGTGGACGATTCTCAATTAATTACTTCTAAAGATAGTTCAGAATTAATGTCATTTGAATCATTGTTTCCCTCTATGAAGGAAGTATATGGCATAGAGCCAGAATATCCAAAACGGAATGACATTATTCTTTATAAAAGGTAATAATATTTGTGTGTGTGTGTGTGTGTTTTTACGACAATATAATAAATTTTATATATTTCAACATTTTCCTTTTTTCAGATTTGTTCTAATAGGACGAAATGCAACATATTCTACAGATCATACTAAACTGCGTTTAAAACTAATTCAACAAACATCTTTTCACGGATCTACAGCTGCTGTCATTATGTTACCTAGTGTTAAAAACGCAAACATAAGCATATACGAACAATACGTGAAAAGAGCCACAGTATGTAAATTTGTTGCACAATTAAATATTGTATAACATATTTATAAATATTTTTACAGGTAGGTGGCATGATACCAAATCCAAATGATATGAATTTGTATGAGGCTTATGCTTCTCAGTACAAATTACTTATGAAACCTACATGCTCAGGATAAGATCAAATCAATTTCATGTTTTATAAATTAAACTTATTGTATATATTACAAATATTATTGTTGATATGTTAATTTGGTATCAATTGTATATATGCAATTACATATATAAAATTAATTTATAATAGCTTTATATGCTTATTTTATATTAAAAATTTAATTAATTTTGTCATTTTAATTAATTTTTTTTGTGTATGAGAAGAATAAAGTACAAAAGATCAGTTTACCAGTTGTAGTTTATTGATGTCATATATAAGAAACATATACTTCCATTTCCATAATATGGAAAATGGAATTTGTTGTCTAGTTTACTTCAGCTTCTTTTTTGGTCGGATATTATTCGTGTGGCCACACTTCTTCTTACGGCAATTAGTTGCTCGTGGATGAAGACGAGCATAGCACTTGCGACAGATCATTTTGTCGCAATTATACTTTTGTGCGAGTATACGCAACGTGGGTTCAATGACGCCTCCTCGGAGACGAAGTACCAAGTGGAGGGTCGATTCTGCAAAAGAAAAAATAAAAGTTATTTTCATACATGTCCATAATGAGTTCCTTTTATATTTTTATACATTTTTCTAAATTTAATACCACATTTGGCCTGTTCTTTTTTCATATCCTGGAACTGAACTTGTATGAATAGTCTTATTTTTTTTCTCTTCAATGTGAAAAGAAAAAGAAGAAAAATGAAGCATGCAAAAGATTCAGTCCTAGGAAAAAGAACAAGCCTTTGACATAAAATCTAGTCTTTACTTTGAAAACTTGCCAAATTCGATAAATTCTATTTAATATCAGGTACACATCCGCACCTTTTTGGATGTTGTAATCGGACAAAGTGCGTCCATCCTCCAGCTGTTTGCCGGCGAAGATGAGTCGCTGTTGATCTGGCGGAATTCCCTCCTTGTCCTGGATCTTAGCCTTGACATTCTCGATGGTATCAGAGGCCTCTACCTCGAGGGTAATGGTTTTACCCGTAAGGGTTTTCACGAAGATCTGCATGGTGGCTTATCTGAATTTTAACAAAATCAACTCGTGAACTTTCGTCACGATATCCACATGCGTAAAAACAGTCTCGTTCAACAATTAAGAGTACCAAGAAAATGTAAGATGAAATTCAGAATAGTTTTCGGTTTGCAATTTATTTTTATCGAGAGGCAGAATTGTGAGAAAAAAAAAACACTAAAATTTAGAACGCCCGACAGACTTCGACGTTAACAACGCAAAGTCGTCACGCGTCGCATTTGTTTTTCAGGCCATCTTTGTTCGAGAATTATTTGGATTTTTTTACAAACAGCGAATAATATCTGAGCTTATCACGAGACTTAACGACAAGCGAAAACGTAGTTACAAAGAAATGTTCAAAAGTGAATGTCACGCTTACCGTTCCGACAACGTGCTGCTAGTAAAACCAACCTAAAAAGAACTCGACATGGCCGCGCCGACGACTTCCATCGATATATGAAATCGCGACTTGCGCGACACCTTGTCGAAGGACATCATTGGCTGCGTTCAGTGGATTCAACAATTGAGTACGCGCTCATTGTTATTAGTATATTCTTTTAGATTATCCAATCAGCATTTTAGATCTGGAAGAATACATCAATGGCAGCGAGTGCTCACATAACTGTTGAGTCCGTTAATGGATCATTTACCCCGAATTTACAATAGATTTTTAAATCTTAATTAAGGAATAGACGAATCACAATCAATTATTCTCTTCACATTCGATTATAGTTGGTCATTTTTTAAGACTTAAAGCTTAAAACACTTATTGTAGATCCGGATTTAAGACCATGATACACACCTTCCGTAAAGCCCATTCTACAATGGACAGCATGGGCTTAACAGTAATATATAGTCATAAGACCGTAAGAATTAGCCAATTAGAATTACGAATTCAAAAGAATTCTTGACTGTGATTGGCTCATTCTTACTGTACGTCTTAGAGTGCCGCCCCATGAGCGGAAATTTACAACGGAACGGAATAACGCGACCAATCACAACTCTGCAATTACGCTGCTTTCTTTTCTATGATTGTAATTGGTCTCCCTGTTTCGGAACGGAATAACGCACCCTTATGATTACTATTACGGAAATGCCATGGTTTTTATCTAGGTTTAATATTCAATGAATAACAAGGATAAATGATGCATCATGCGCGTCATGCGTGAAATGGAATGCACCCAAAGCGATTAGGCAAGCTTATTGAAAGTTTGTTCCTGTCGTATACTCCAACATGCTCTGATATGCTCCTATCCATAGCTCTTAGTCGCCCTAATAAGCGCGTTGGAGTAAGAAAAAGCTATGAGCATGTTGGAGCATATTGGAGTATGCGTTGCGAACAAATCTCGAGCGAATGAGCATGATTGGTTCTTGCCTATGGATCCAACCAATCATGTTTAATTATTTGGCAAGCAAACCATTTGCCGACTTGAGCTATGTTCCAGAATTTACTGCCAGTACTAAAAATTTATAATGCATATAATGCGTAAACTATAGATTTTCAGTATTTGTAGCAAATTTCAAACGCAGCCTAAGAGAGCGTTTATATTATTACGGCCAATATAAACGCTCCTTAACTCGTTCATTGGTTGCGTTCAGTAGAAAAAGCAGCTTTGCAACTGTGTAAAATTCTTTAATATGATTGTCTTGCCCTTAGTTTCTCATTAGATTTAAATGTATAAATTAATCATATTCAAGAATTTTATAACAATTGCAAAGCTGCTTTTTTTTGCTGAACGCAATCATTATTTTTTTTAAAATCTACATTATATGTAGTGTAAATTATAGATTTTCTGCCAATACTGGCAGTGCATATTAGAACAGGTCATGATGATTTCTTAATACAGGAACAGGTAAGTCATGATGATTTCTTAATACACATTTGCGCAATTCGATTTACGAAGTGTTATAACATCGGCGTTATAAAAACTGCTAATTATAGCTCTTCCTCTGAAAAATGGAATAACTGATCAGTTTCATAACTTTGATGTTTTATAATTTTGGTGTAAATTGAGCTGTAAACCTACAAGTCATTAATAATATGATTACTATTTTCTATTTGAGTTATACGATGATTGGAATTGATTGTGATATCTTGAAATGATTGGAGTTGATTGTGATATCTTGAGAGTCAAAATTACAAAAGTAAACAAATTCGCTCAAATAATAGAGTTTTTGCAATACCCTGTATTCAGATACAATACGTTAAAGTTATGTTATTTCGAATTGCGCACTAAATAACGAGAAACTTTAACGTTTAAAACTAAGAAAGAAACTATATATTCATATCAGGATACACGATATTGCAAAAACTTCCTATTATAATTTCATTAATAAACAACGGTTTACTATCTTGAAAATGTTCACATTTATAATTTTCATCTCATTTCAAGATACACAATATATTGACCCTTAAAATAAAACAAAGGTTAACAATTTATTAAAATATTGATTCAACACCAATGAGTTCGTTTACTTTTGTAATTTTTTTACCTTGTTTTAAAAACCATTAAATAAATCCGCTGGAATTTAATCAATTTGATTCGCGTAGTGAAGCGAGTCGACCAATCGCAGCATCGTGAGAGATGGCTGTCTCGAAACTTTCGGCTGTGATTGGTCGGCCTGCTAAGTGCTTTTTACTTTTTGAACGTACCAAACTTCACCACATTCCACCGACATTAATCCTTCCGAAATCGCGCCAAATCGCGACGTCTCTTCGTGAAAGGATTCTGAATCGCAAGTATTCGTAAAACATGTCTCGATAGATTGCGCGTGACTCGCAAGTGTGTTTCTTACGATCGTTTGTTACAAGATGATTAACCTGCGTGTGATTGCGAGCATGTCGCAAAATGTCGCGAACGACGTCATCATTATGCATCGTTACTTCGCGATCTCAGGTATTTATCTCTCGAAAGCACAATGATCCGCGTATTTATTTCGCGAAAGCGCAATAATTATCATCAGATGCTCGATTTCGGGAAATAACACTCAATTTTTGGAAGTGAAATCTCACTCCAAGAAAAGTGATAGTTGCATCAGTTCGCAAGAGTGAATTTCACTTTACTCCTTCAAGGAATGAATTTTCTAAGAGATCAACTTTAATGATTAATATCTCGCTTGGCGAGGCACAGCGACTCTCTACAGCACAAAAGTTGCAGTCACAATGCTGCAACATTATAATAATATTGCAGCGTTTATTTTTACAACGATGCTGTATATTTTGTGCTGTATGAAACACATTTCTCGCCAAATTTGTGCAAAAACAAAGGAACCTAATGAGCCTAATTTCATCAAGATTGGATGTAGGGAAGTTAAATTTAACATTTACCTTCAGTCTCTGCTTTCAGAGAGTGAAATTATTCATCCTGTACAGCACAGAAAGATTACAGAAACATTGCAGAATAATTTCACTGAAACATTGCAATATTGCATGGTGGTTGCGAAACGTTACTGAATCATTGCTGCAAGATTCCAACAATGTTAAAATGTCCGCTTTTTGTTATATTGCAATGAAACGTTCCAGCAATATTGCAATGTAATGTATTTGAATAAATTTCTTACGAAGATTCTAAAATAAAAACTATTTTTTCTGTACATATATCTCACTTTAATTTTTTTACAAATCTAGCATTTCTAGTGATGCTTTCTATAAAGCTTTCTATAAAGCAATCTTTTTATGATAAAACCATAAAATATTCCAATAAATTAATTTTGAAGAATAAATTTATTCGTAAGGATAAAGCATGTATGTACCCCGAGCAAACTATATATATTATTCACTATAAACTATATATATATATACTATAAATATTATTCACATTAACATGGTTTATTTTTGCGTTCACATCAGGCATACAAATACATCATCGATCACATAATTAATATTTCGATAAATTGTTTTTAGTAGCTTAATTGCTTATCCGATAATTATGATTGTATCCAAATTCGATATTATACAAAATCTTTTGATTTCATATTTAAAATAAATATAAAACTTAGCTAATGAAATGGCCGTCGAATAATAGATTAATAAATTTTTTATTTAAATATAAAAAGGGATTATATTAATTATTATATCATAAAATATATTAAATTAAAAGACTATACTACATAAATATTAGAAAAAAATTATATTTTTATATTATTATTGTAACAATTAAAGAATTATAGTTTTGTAACGTTTCTGGAATATTACTGACAGGCATATTATTGACATTTTGCAGGCATATTGTTAATTTACATTCTCTGCAATGTTACATTGTAATCTGCAATATTGCAGCAATATTGCTTCAATCTTCTGTGCTATATGGAACTTTTCGCAGAGAAAATTGAAAATTGACTCGCTTGGAGTGATTTTTCAAAGAGTGATTCTTCACTCTGTAAGAAAATTTTACTCCTGCTGGATTGACGCAACTGTCATTCTCCGGGAATGAAATTTCATTCCCAAAAATTTAGAGTGAACTAATACGGAAAAGAAAAGCGAGTGAAACAATTATCACTCAAGCAGAACAAATCAAATAATGTCAAAATGGCGATAATATTAAAATTAATTTTTAGTCATTATTTTAGAGTCGTTTATTAAATACTCAAACCAAATCATCATGACATGTTATCAACAAAATAGTATAACATGAATGTATAATTTCACACTCTATTAATAATATAACTCTTATGTACAACATGTGTTGTATTATGTTTATATTGTTGAATTTGAAATTATAATGTTGTCATTACATTATTGTTAGTTGATATTTACTAAATATATACATGAAAACTCAAACATTACAACAAGTCGTGATAATGTCATTTCGATGTTAAAATAGATAAAAAAATGATTTTTAATTATTTTGAAATCGTTTTGATACTATTTTAATGTCATGATAAATCTCATGATATTATTTTCCATTTTGAAAATAATAACATACATACAAAATAATAACATATTACTTTAATTAATATCATATAAATCATTAATTAATATTACATAAATTTAATTATTAATTATTAGAAATTTTATGCAGATTTAATATTATATAGATCAATAATTATTTTTAATTTATTGCAGATTAATATTTGAAAAGCATAAGGAGCATATTGTCTTTACGTGCCGCTAAGAGAAAACTTGAGCAGCGTCGATCGTTATGAAGGCGCGAAGCGCATAGCGACTAAGGAGTCAATAACTTCAGTATTACGATCAAGGTATGTTTGCATATTACTTCTCGGTAATACGTTTGTGCAATTTCACACTTGCGATTGTAGGCGCTCGCACACACGTGTTCTGTATCCGGCTTTCCGAGGAGACGAGAGTTCCGCGCCTCGGACTCAAGCGATATGCAAATTTTAGTAGTAACCCTTAAACTTAGCGCCCTGACCTAGATGCTCACCTGTCTGGAGAACAGGGAGATGTCTTGCGATTATGCACGATTTACCATGTCGCCTATCCAGTTGCAAATATA